CTGAATTGAGAAAAGATTTGGAGTTTTACGAGCGAAAAAAATCGTTGATAATTATTTTTCAAAATCTAAAAATGGATTCGAAATGGGATGATGTATTCACATCAACATCAAGATTTTCGAATGGACCATCAACAAGCAGCCGGAGCATCCGTCCGAAACCAGTTTATCAAGAATATAAAATTGAGAACATTGTGCGAGTGAAATTTAGTCAGGAAAAACGGGAGGTTGTTTTACAACCCAAGAACGGCGCTCCAATGAAATTCACCAATGATGAATTTGAGGACTTTCTGAATTTTCTGGATACGATCAACGATGGATGGTGCGATACAAATTTTTACATTGGAGAATACATTTACGTTAGCTACTGGCATGAAGAAGAAAGCAAAGGACTAACTGTGGTTGATATGCGGACCAATGAAGTGATGGCTTGGAACGAAAATCATCTTGAGATAGTTTTAGCCCACAAATTTAACCTGTACGATATGTTTATTAAAATGGAATAAAACAACTGAGTAAAAAAAAAAAACAAAACAAGGTAGTTTATTAAATTTACAAAACACAAACAAATATCATTATAATTATAAATAAGTTTAAATGAATAATACCACAACTTATAGGTGAAAAAAATCCTAACCTAAAAACCTTAAAACTACAACCCCTTGAAAGCATGCTGAGAAAGCTGTCCCTGCTGTCAGTCTTGACTCTCTGGAATTTCCGATGATTCCTTATACAACTCTATATCTCTATGACCCCAAGCGAGCGTGTATTCAGTACCGGGTATAACGTAGCGTTTGTCGTCCGCGTAAGACAAAGCTACTTTATTTTTAAGTTCGATGTACATATCATGTTTATGTGAACGGAAAGTGTTCATCTGACGATGAATGAGCGTACCTTCTACGTCAACCGCAGTCTTATAATCATCAAGGGTTAATTCTTTCTTGGTGACGTAATCAGGTACGCCTTTCGCTTTTTTAGTCAACTCTCCTTCCACATTAACACAATACGCCTTCGCCCCAGTACCTAGAAACTCCCACACGATTTTCCCTGCATATTCATCTTTCATTTTACCCAGAATAGATTGGTTTACAGGTACATTATGTGGGTTATTCTGTGAGTAATTAGAAGTATCGAATTTGTCTAAATTTTCTCTAATATCATCATAAAAATTCTCAGTTTCTATATTTAAAATAAGGGAGTCAGTATCAGTATAGAGTAGGGACGCTTTATTCCCGTATTTAGGCTTGATATAGCTATACAGAAAATCATACATGATTGTCTTGGATATATCCAAAATGGCGAATCCCACGTAAATAGGCTTATCATATTTAACTCTCTGTTTAGCCATATGGATAGCTACTAAATTCTCACCAAAAATGGTAACGTCTTTAAAATGAGGCTTTGAGATCCACGCTTCTGCTCCCCGTTTTCTTCCAATATTTTCCCAATGGGTAATTAGCTTGATATCTACCCTTTTCTCCACGTTTTCCATAGTTTTACCAAACACGGCATTATTCATAAGTTTGAAAAAATCTTTTTCAAATTTATTGGAAGCAGCATTCCGTTTTGCTGTGTTTAGGTCAATGTAAATTTTGAGCCAAGGAGATTGATTGAAAGTGAGAACGCGATGAATTTTTTCCAATTTTATGCCATGACTTATAGCCTGCTGCAAATTTTGAAGATGAATAACGTATTTTTCTTTTCGATTGAAATTTGGAATAAGTTTTTTAATTTTAGAACCTTCTGGAGCAACGGATTCTGGGCAAAAGGGTAGCTCATTATGCGTATAATGCAGGTCTTCCGGGTATACTAAATCAACTTCGAATATGTAGCCAGTGCTTGAGTTTTTATCTAATTTCAAATAGTCTAAGTTTTGAATTTCTTCCGCGTCAAGCCATTTGAAGTTACCCGTCGGTAAAAATTGGCTCATGGCTGCACCATATAAGTTGGTAGCATCCAGGTACATTAAGTAAGAAGTAGGTTTGGAAGCATCGTAGTGAGGAACGAACTTATTATTTGCGACAGCTTTCCTTATACTACACTGACTGACCCCTCCGCGAATGCCGCGCTTCAGGAAGTGTATCATGTCAATATCTGTCAGTAATTCCAACTCCATAGCTGTTGTTTTAAGAGCAGCATCAAAAGATAGCCCTGGAGCCGTGTAATACTGACACGGATCTAGACTATAGGTTGATAGACACACGTCTCTAAAATTTTCAAAAACATCAGCCAGAATTAATACGTCGGATTTTAAATAAATATCTGAATATTCACCTAAAGTTTTACATTTAAACAAATTCCAAGCTTTCTGTGCACGCTCGTAATCTTTTCGCTTGATGGCTTCTTTTCTCAAATGATTGTAGAAGTCATCAATGGATGGAAGCTTGGTGTCGTCTAATTTCGAAAAAGAATCCACGTAAGAATACGGGAAGACACCCTTTTGTCGAATGACCTGAAATTCGTCTTCCGCGGGAAAATATTTTCTAACTTCTCGACATTGTTCTGGTTTTAAGTTTTGTGATAATTTATCTAAGCTTGATGCCATGAATCGAAAACTGTCGAGGAAGCGCAATTTCAAAAATACCTGTTTGTATTTACCTGCTTCATCGAGTGGGATTTTATCCACCAAAATATGTTTGGTAAATGAAATGTACCGCTCCTTATTTTGGGGGATAACATCCACTCTTTCGTTTTCTTGAGCCAATTCCTTGACAAAGAGATGGGAATCAAAATTGGACATACAATGAAAGAAGATAGGGATGAAATTTGGAATTTTAAAATTAAGGTTACATTGAGAGTGGGCTGCAGCTCGGAAATTCCCAGTGAGATGACAGTGATCCCTCACTCTTTCGTCTTCTGCTTTAAATGGTTTCTCGCAAAGATGGCAATTTTCCGCATTGCGAAACTCATCCTCTTGTTCTTGACTTAGAGGGTGCATGGGCACTATGTCTTTCATAAATCGATTATAGATTGATTTACAATCATTCTCTAACCAGTCTACGAAAACTTTGTGTGCATTAGGTCCTCTGAAAGTCTTGAAAATCGAATGAGAATCGTCAAAGTCACATTTAATGTAATAGGCGAAAGAATAAGGAACAGCCTTGTGAGTTTTGATAGTATAGGAATTTTCGGGGTCCAGCTCGGTTTCCTCTGCCTCGACAGGTTCAATGATTGTCTCGAAATCGGCGTAAACAACAAAAGGTACCTTCAATTTTTTATCGAAATTTGTGAATTTCAGGATATTCTCAGGAACCTCTTCACCGTATTTATTTTTCTTTAAATCTGTTGTCGGTAATTGCACTGAAACGTGACCACAGTCGTATTCTTGATGAGCTTTCAATTTTTGCTCAGTTGAGAAATACACCAAACATCCATCACACAAGTATTTAGCTTTTTCATGTTTAGATAATTGACTTGAAATCAAGCGAGACATGTTTCTTATTAAACAATAGTGACTATCACCAAAATCATTACTGATTAATAATAAATTCACATGTTTCGCTTTTCGAGACTGAGTAAAGTATAAGGGACCAACAATTTCAATAATATCTCTACCATTTTCATAGGCGTTATCTAATCCATAAACATTGATGGAGATATTATTGAGTTGCTCAAACTTACTAATGTCTTTAAGTTTAATTGGAAATTCCATACCTGTAAAGTCTAGCTCGTTCTCAAAAGACAGATAGTTCGCGACTCTATTTGCTGGTTTAGTTCGATCAACTGGATGTAGGTGAGCCAAGACTGACCACATGAAGCATTTTTGGTCACGATTTTGTATATTTAGGACAGCTTTCTTAGCTTCTATCGCTTTTGGTAGCGCGAGATACGAAGACGCTCTCAAGGGGTTGACCTTATTTATCGCTACATCTAAGTGTAGGAGTTGCTGCAGCGCCCAGCCTGTAATAAACATTGTCTAGTAAAAAGGACATACAAATAAAGTTCTACATACCACTTTCTTTTTCCTGGAATTCCGAACACTTTTTATCCAGGATGGCTGAAAACTGCTCGAACAGCTCCTTCAGATCTGCACCATCGCTTAACAGGCGGAATTTGGTGTTGAAGGACTTAACCTCTTCCAACTTTTTCGCCTGCAGGAGGAAGCCGCCGAAAAGCTCCACACCGACTTTAATATGACCAAATTTCAACACATTATCACCTATCAGCTTGATAAATTTTTCAAAAAGATGTCCTAAAAATTCCTTGACGCTGGTAGGGTCCTGTTTTGAAGAAAGCCGGTATGTCGCAATTCGGGCCCTAAAAGATGTTTTTACGAGCTGTACGCCTTCTTCCTGCTGGACACAGGTGTTGGCCAGGTGTTGTAGACTCCGCAGATGCCCGGCCCATCGATTGGTCGAAATCTCAAGAGCACATTCCAGACAGTGACGTGTGGATGACGTTGACGCTTTGAAAATAAAGAAAAAAAAAGAGAAGAGTTAGCAAATACTATACAAACACGAAAAAACCTTACCATTATTTTGGTCAACTCTAGCTCGTTCAACCATGGGAACACAAAAATTTTCTGCTTTACGCTTTGGGGCCCTTCTGTGTTTTTCTTTGAAATGACGTTGGAAGGCTCCCTCTGATTTGAAAATTCCCCCGCATTGACTGCAAATTTCAACCGCGGCTCTACAATCCCCATGACGCACTAAATTATCCTTTCTGGTAAACGATCTAGAGCAGTATTCACAGATAAACATTTTTCTAAAAAAGCAAATCAAACACAATAAATAATAATTGTTAACTTTCATGAAAAAATAAAAATAAAATAAAATTAAACTTACGGTTCTAGAGGTAATTCAAACCGAGAAGAAATAGAAAGATTAACTGGTATTCTCCAACCTAAGCTTCCTTTCAATATGTTTTCACGACCACCACCACCACCATCGCCATTCGAATGCTTATGTGAATACATGATGTTATAATGAAAGTGACTCCATTTAAATAATAAATAAGTTTCTAGTTTAATTCAAGTTGATTTATTTCTACAAAATGTACAACATTCCGTTTTTAAAATCTCCTGTAAATTTTTTTTACACTTCATACAAGAAAAATCAGTATTAAGCGTCTGTTTACTCTTCAGTTTTTCATGTTTAGACACTGTCGCAAGACGATCCAAGGGATACACTGTTCTTCCACATTCTAAGCAAAGCCTTACTAAACCTTCTAGATATTCTTCTTCATAGAACACTCCACCCTCTTCGATATTTGAACATTGTTCAGGAAAATAATTTTCGTAAGTCGTGATAAATATTTTTATGAAATTTTTCAAACGGCATTGTACCTTAAAAATGAAAAAATAAATTATTGAAAATAAATTATTAAAAAAATGGTACCTTATTATAGAACATTTTAGATAGTTATTAAAATCATTTATCACTATCACTAGCACTAAATTTCTCAAACCGTCTCCTCTCTTCCTCTCTAAACTTTTTTTTGAAACTTTTGGATTTTTTGGGTGGAATACTCCTTAAAATTGGATTGGCTAATACATACTCCGTTGGATCATAAGTCGGTTCGTTTGTATCCCAGTCGAGCCAATCTTCCTTAGGAAGTGGAAGAGGTAATTCTACTACTTTTGGCGACTGCTGAAGTTTAGGAGAAGTAGAAGGAGGTTGAGAAACACTATTCAATTTACAAAAACACTAAAACGAAAAAAATATTTTCCACCTCTCCAACCATTTATTGTTCAAAATCAGTTATCACTATCACTAAATTTCCCAAACCGTCTCTTCTCTTCCCCTCTAAACTTTTTTTTGAAACTGTACGTTTGTATCTCAGTCGAACCAATCCTCCTGAGTTCGGTGGTTCCTGTTGGTTAGGAGAAGTAGAAGGAGGTTGAGAAAATCTAGTTACTGCACAATAACACTAAAACGAAAAAATATTTTCAACCTTCCTACTATTTATTGGTTGAAAAATGAAATACAATTGAATTTACCTGGTCAAAATCTGTTTGAGTACTTTTATCCATTTTTAAATTTCACGAAAATTATTCAGACGGTGTATTACAAAGCCGGTAAGGTAAGTTGGAAACTTGGATAATTTTTGAATCTCTTATTCGTATTTATAAGAAAGCAAAGTCGCTTCACATTTTGAATAACGAGGAAACGTGATTCACTTTTCAATTAATTATTTTCAATTGATGATAAATGATACACGAAAATGCTATTAAACGATACATAGAGATCCTGGTTAGAAAAATTTAAAAAAATATATAATTAAGTACTTTGTAATTTGTAATTACGAAACGTGACACAAGATCACGATTTTGTTAATCAATGCAAATTGACGGTATTGTTTCAGTGCGTGTAGTAGGTATGAGTTTGTATAAATAGGGTTTCTTTGAGTTAAAAACACAAGTTCTGTTTTCTGCGAGCAGCGGTGCGTTTGTGGAAAAAAAAAAAATAGACAGGTAGACATTTTTTATTATTATTATTCTTATTTTTTTTTTTTTTTTTTTTTTTTTTTTTTTTTTTTTTTTTTTTTTTTTTTTTTTTTTTTTTTTTTTTCACATTATTCTTTTTCATGTATTCTTTTTCAGATTAGCTATGTCGATTGCGGAAATTAATGATAAATATAGTTTCAAAGAATGTAATAAGAAAGAAGAGTTAGAAATTGGCAAACCGTACAAAATCATTAATATTAGTAAAATGGATACAAAATTTGGGCCTTCAATTTTGGTTGCATTGGAAGATGGAAAGTCCATTTTTCTACCCAAGAGATATGATTTTACTCAAGAGGAAATTAAAAAATTGACTAATGGTTGCTCCGCCCTAATTTACAGAGGTGAAAAAAATGTTGGGAAACCTTTACCAGCTGCAGTTTTCGAATTTGCAGAATGGACTATGTGAGTGTTTTTTATGTAAGTAAATTTAACCTAACTGCGAAAAAATTATACTTACCACTTTTTTGATTTTTAGAACCAGTCATGAAATTTATCCAACGGATCTATACACAGCCTTTCCAGATCATACACATTTTTGTTATACTTGTCAAAAATGTTTTTGCTTTTGCGAAAATTCAATTAAAAAGCATACCTACATTAGAAGAAACGAACATAATCTACTCTGTCATGAACAAATGTTCGAGTCACCATAGAATTACTGTGTTTTATTTTCTTTGCGTTTAAATAAAATTTTACCGAAAAATTGTTGTTTCATTGAACTTCATCACCTGAGCCTGGGAACTTTGGCAACTGAACCTATACAGGTATCCGGACCTAGATGGCGCCTCATACGGCAGGTAGTGAGTGTACAATAGCCCCCGGGGGTATTATAGGCAACTGAACCTATAGATGGCGCATGCAGGCATGCTATAAGCTCCTCCGGAGGACGGAGGTTGCAGAACCGGCCATTTATATCTACTAATGTAAACGAAACTTTAGCGAGCGTTGTGTGGCAAAACTGCTCATTTATTTATGTACCCCAGGGACGTATATCTTGTTTAATATTATTCCGAAGAAAACTTTTGATATCCCCATAAGCGGTTGATTTTCTTAAAGTTTGGGGGAATGTCTAGGCATTTTGGTGCATAATTCATGGTTGTTTCGGTTATCTGGCTGCCAAGGCAGATAACAACTTTTTGAATCTTTCACTCGAGAGAATGATGATTTTTGGCTTGGAAAGGTGAAAACTTTCAAAGAGATAAGTTTCCTTTAAAATTAATCAAAGCCAAATTAATATTTACTTATATTAAATACCATTCTCATTCCCTGTTCAAAACCCTTATCCTTCGCCTAATTCCGCCCAAAAGGATTGAGATATTTGCATTGCAACGATACGGTACGTCTTTGTTTAGACTTTAGATTTTCCCTTAGTCTTGGGTTATGTTGGTTTAACATTCCCCGGTGGTTCTAATTGGAATTAGGGCTGTTATGGGAGATATTCAGGTAATAACAGTTTCCTTAAGGGGATGTTTATATAACGCCCGCTAGTAATAATAGACCGACAATCTTAGGAGATTATTTCAAAACAGTTTGGCGTTGTTGTTGTTCTTTCTTGGATTGTGTGCGTCGAGAATTTCTAATGAATCTTTCGACGATCCCTTGGCAGTCGTAAATGAGCTCCTGTATGGAATTGGCCCTTGAAAGTCCAAAATTCGAAACGATAAAAGGTTGAATAAAAGAATCCGGAAATGAAAAAGTATTCGGATAAAACGGGTCTGAATAAAAAGAAATAAATACCTGATCATTTATTTTTACTCTTATGTAGTTTCTATTTCGAAATATTTTAGTTGTTTGTGACTACTCAGTTTATACCAACTTCATTTCACTTATCAACAAAATAATTCATAAGCTGGGCACAATCTTGCAACATTGCTTGGTAACTGAAACGACAGTCAGTAATAAATTGTGCGCCAATATTTCAAGAATCAGTTAGTTAAATGCGAAAAATTGAATAAATAATAAAACGCAAGTCCATAGTAAGACAGTGAGCTGCGATGAAGTTTTCCGACTAGTTAGGCTAGTGAACTGATTTCGGGATAGAAACGCCGAGTGAGAGAGCTATATTCTAGGTAAGATATTGCAGAGTAAGCTTCGCACGTTAAAATCTGTATAGCTTAAAATGTTAATGATCCTCATCATAGAAACTAGTTCAAAAGAGTAAGATCCAGAGAGTATGGTGGCCATTCCAACTGCTTTCCTTGAGCCCTAAACAGCAAGTTAGTAAAATTTCATCTAATTATCTGCTGACTGATATTTTGTATAACTACTAACTCGCTTAATTTTGTGAAAACGACTTTTTAGTAATGTTGCGAGACGAGAGTATGCTTTCTCTGGTCTTGTCTCGAAGGTTGCAGAGAAAATGATTCGTCGAGATGAGATGAGACGAGAGACGAGATGGAGGATAAATGTTTAGTATGATACTTTGTGATACAAATCATAGAGCTACTTTAAGATTTTGTAGTTTAGTTACGTTATCACGTCACAGATATGGCCGCCGGGTGAAAATTGTAGGCAATTTACCATTCTAAAGTCGATAGTTATTTGTGAGTAGTAAAAGTATCATACAAGTCTTGATGCAGCATAAAGCCAAAATCAATGTGTGAGATGATATTTTGTGAAATTGGGTGCTAAGTGGCGGGATACTGTTACAAAGATGGTCGCCCAGGAGATATCGGTTTTGTTATTCCAATTTGCCTATATTCAACTTCTGCCTTTTTATTTCCAATATGGATTCCGAGTCAGATTTTCATCACTGGCAAAAAAAGTTAAAATTACAGATACAACCGATGAATGCATACTTCACTCTACCAGCGACAACAGCAGTTTAGTGAGTCTATCATCTGTCAAATCATGGAAAACTTTCCTGAACGCAGTCACAAAAAGGAAACACGGAAGATTGCTAGAAATTGCAAAGTCAGTTACCGAAGAAGATTATCCTGTATTGAAGTACCACCGTCAATGTCGAAGCATCTTTACCATGAAATCTAAACTCACTAGTATTACGGCTGAGCAGAACGCGATATTACCAGATCAACCATCGGTGTCTTTTTCAGTGCGGTTACGTGAAAATCATTACACCAAAATACGTCAGAACCAATTCTACCAATCATCTGCATTTTTTGTGAAAAAAGAACTGACAGGAAGTAGAACACGTGAAGAACTAGTGCAATGTGTGGAGTTGAGATCCAATGATACGATCAAAGCCTCTGCTATATCGAAAAATGACAGCAGAATTGTTGGGTTAGCCGAGACTATATGTTTTGTTTCAGCAGAAGCAAAGTACCATTTCTCATGCTATCGTTTGTGCACGCGCATTGATAGTTCAGCAAAATCATCTGAAATAGCGGAAACGACTCTAGAAGAACAGGAATTTCAGAAATATGCTAGTGTGGAATAAGTTGCATTTAGTGAACTTACTAAGTAGGTACTTATATGGAAGAACTTTTTGATAATCCTGAAGTTGTGAAATTTACCGAGGTTACTAGCCGTTATGTTTAATTTATTAAGAACAATGAATTCTCAGAAGTGAAATCTCACACCAAAAAAAAACTTAAGACGCAAGTTGGAAAACTTGTATAGCTCCAAAGTTCATTTCGTTTCAAACGATAGTGGTCATCTGTCAATGCTACTAATCAGTATGTTAAGAAATGATTCGAATGAATGACCAATTATCCTGTAAGACCCCAAATTCAGAAACTTGGTAAGATGTTAAATTGGCGAGCGGTGACTTTAGTTTCTGAGTGGAGACACAGTTTAAAATGAGTCCTATTTGCGGGTGGAGAGTAGAATACAGAAATATTGTGGTCAATTAAAATAAAGTTAATTTTATTAAAATAAATAATGCTTGTTAATAAATAACAGGTGTCGGTAATAAATAATCTTACAATAAAATTGTTAGATTTCTAATAAGCATCAATTAACTGTTAAGGAAAATTTATATGATTCCAAGTAAAAAATTTTATTTACAGTTTGACTCGATTCACACTCTGCCTTCACAATTTCTGGCTAAACATAAAAAAACTCTTCTTACGTTTAACAATAATATATTTACTGCTGGCCACACCTAATTACATGGAAATGTTATTGGTTGAAGGAATTTACTTTAATTATGAACACTTAGATAATAAAAAAAACTCGAATATTTTCGTGCTGTTATTTCACGTCGTGGTTCTTCTCTCGATTAATTCGACAACTCTTTCACGCCGTAGTTCTAACTTTCTGGACACAGGTCTCTCGATTCTCGATTACTACTTGTTTCTTGATTACTCAACCGACACTGGTCCTTCACGCCGTAGGTTTACTAGCTCTTTTTTGAACACTGGTTTTCTGGAACACTGATTTTCTCCTGCCAAAGTTGCCTTTTTATATCATTGGTCCCTCTATTGTCTTGAATATCTTTGTTTTTTCTGACCTCGATTTTCCGTGGTTGAATCATCCGATCAATTAGTGTATTGGGTCCCCTTTTAATTAATTATCAGTGGTTTGTTAAGTGGGTATCATCATATAGGCTCGTGCATGATTTATTGATCCTCTTAGAAATTTGTCGGCTCCTTTGGAATGTTAATTGTTAAAAGCACTTAAAGAAAGGTCCATGAACTTTTGCTTTATTCACATTCCAATGTATTAGTCAATATATGGTATCGGCTTCAATAATTTCTGGATATTAATGTTCAGATAATTTTTAATTGAAGTTTCTGGTTGTGCTGTCCAAGTGATGATCTCTCCTGGGATGGTTATTTGGTAAGTTCTTGTTATTCTTGATTAACTTTTGGTAGTTGGATCCTAGATCTTTAGTTGCTTAGAATAATCAGAACCTTTGATTGTTTTCTTGGTGGTTTATTTCCGCGCCACTACAATCCGATAAGAATAGGATTACTGCTGCATGTCTAATCCGTTATGAAATCTTGCAACTCGAAAGTAGGAATGTATGGCTACGAATGTCTGAAGACCTGTCTGAATTCTAACTTCCAAAGAATGCCCATCTATTTCTGCAGTCTCTCTTGAGAGGGTATAACAGAATACAACCATTCCAGGAGAGTGTCGCGTTTAATTTGGTCATTGGGTCAAGATTTTATCCATGCTGTCACGGAGGGAAAGCTTTAGAACTCCGAAGCATATTCTACTCACATTTGCTTTTAAATCCCTCACAGGTAAATAAGTCGTTGAGTTAACTAAACTCCTAAATAGATGTGGCCATGGACTTTCATACTCCCAAATCGAAGAAATTGAGACAGCAATAGCTATGCAAAAGATTTCCGCTGAAAAAGAACCAGACTTAGTAATTCCAAGAAATATTGTTCAAAATGCATTTCCACACCTCGCATGGGATAATATGGATCGTTTGGAAGAAACTTCTCTCAGACGAGTTAATGGCATTATAACATAGCCCGTGCATTCCGCTTTAGCAGAAGGTATAGATACACAGGAGCAGGTAATTATTGATAAAAGCTCAAACAGCGAACCATACCAGTGTATGGAGCCGCTCTATACAACCTTACAACGTTGGCAGAAGGGCCTACAAGACATTTTGTGGACATTCGAAAGGGGTCAATTTTCAATACAAATGTATGGAGAAAATCCCTTCGGTAGAATTCCCGTGGACCAAACAATAGAAGTAACCATCAACAAGGACACGCAGGGCAGTAGCGAAACTACAAAATTTAGTAAGCATCCTGCAGCTGTTGTAAGATATTGTCAACTCATAAACGTACACAAGCCCACGCATTACATAAATTAAGTAAATTTCCAAAGGAGGTCACCCCGGACTATTAAAAACAGACCGATTTTGCTTATGCCAGCAATAATTTCAACATAAATTCACGCAGTGCGGCAATGCAAGGCAAGGTTGGTCTGGACTGCTTTATGCCTGATAAGGTACGAGCCCAAAGACCTGCCGTTAGCTGGGTACGACTAGGTATAGTCGAGACTGTGAAACTATTGGATGAAGGTCTCGTCTATAGCGGCCGTGTCACAGCGTCCCCAAGTTTAGACCTACAAGAACTATGCCCTTAGGGGGCCCGTTCTTTTAGTGCATCTTGGGTTTCATTAAACATTAAACATTCTTACATTTCGAGTTGACAATCGAAAACATGGTCCACCAGGGACGAACATCGGCGGTGTTAGGATTTTGGTAAATCTCCTTGAACTATAAGGTGTAATTAAGGTTTAGTAATAAAACAAATATAATATTCGTGGTGGTATTCCTTCCCCCCATATCCTCTCTTTTCAGATAAACCCTTAGTGGATGCAGCCAAGCGAAGTAAAAGTCAATTCAATTCAATTCTTTATTGTTTAAAAAGAATATACATTCTTATAACAGTAGGTTCTGCACAATAATAAACTTAATCTAAGTAATGCTACATTTCTCATACTTATAAGCTACACGTTTAAATATGTAAACCCAAATTTGAAATTGAAAAAGAACAAAAAATAATACTGTATATTAATTCAGGTACGAGGAGAATAGGAAGATAAAATTAAAATCTAAAGAATAGGACTATTCATTTCTTAAGAACGATCTAAGTTTAAGAATACTAGTAACGGTTTGGAAAATAACCCTCACCAGTTGAGGGTTTAGATTGTCCAAATTATGAGCAAAATTCGGTATATCACCCCAATCTGCCGGCCTAACACTACGATATAAAGGACATTCAAAGAGAACGTGAAGAAATGTTTCAGGCACTCTTAGGTTACAAACCGAACAGAGTTCTTCTTGATTAATTCTATAAGCTATGCCATTCCAGAATATATTGCAGTTATAACTCGAACAAAGTCGTATTTGTGTAATAACTCTGATCATGTAAAAAGCACAGTCAGAATAAAGGTACTTCAACGAATGCTTATTTAAATCAAATTGACTATAAAACAAAGTATACGTAGAATTTCGTGCCACTCGATAGTCGGTCTGCAAACATCTTTCACGAAAATGTTTTAATATCTCTGGTTTACTACGTTTTAAAGAAATGTTATTTAAAGACCACAAGTGGGTTATTCCGATTTCTTGAAACCATCTGTAAAAGTTGTAAGCCCAATTAAACTTAGGGGAGGCATTACCACCAAATAAATTGAGCTGGCGATTTAGACAAATTTTGGGCAACCTGTGATTCTCCATGCCTAATAGTTTAATAAAATAGTTTAGCGTTGACTTGAACACGAAATACGACAGAGGCAGACTGTCTGTTTCAACTCTAATTATGGCATGGGAGGTATTCTTTGGGAGCCTTAAAAGGGACTTAAAGAACGAGGACTGAACCTTCTCCAGGACATCAGCATATCAAGGCCCCCAGACTGGTAAACAATTACTAAACGAGTTCATAACGGAACCAGAAAACAGCTTCTTATTAACAGAAAATGAATTGTATTTTATTTTAGATGTTAGTGACATAACCGCACCTGCCGCTTGACATGCACGTAAAATTGTATTGTCCGTCATTATCCGAAAGCAGTTCGATGGGGTGAACACGACTCCCAAATAGACAAATTTGTTTACCACTTCTAGAGGATCCCCATTAAATACGAATTTGAACCCACCTGTATAGGGCAGTCCTGGTCTGTTGAAACACATTATTTTTGATTTGTTTGAATTTATGATAAGATTGTTTTCACTGGCGTATTGCTGAAGTATATTTAGTTTTTTCTGTAAATCAATTTCCGAGTCGCTGAGTAGTATAAGGTCGTCACAATACAGTAGAAGAGTTATATCGTTAGTAGCGTCCATGCTCAACCCCCCCACCCCGCGATCCAGAAAAAACTGGACAATATCGTACAGAAAAATATTAAACAGGGTAGGACTAAGAGTTTCACCCTGCAAGACCCCAGAAGAAATGGGAAAGGGCCTTGTTAATCCCTCGGTTGCTCTTATCTGAACCGTGGCTTTATCGTAAAGGTCTTTTATGGTCATTATGAGATTTGAACTGATTCCTACTTGGTACATTTTGTGCCACAGTAGGTTATGTGAAATCGAGTCAAAAGCTCTGCGGAAATCAATAAAGGCAGCAAACACCCTTCGTCTCTTCAGTCTTAGATGATTTTGTATGACAGTATGAAGTACAAAAACATTGTCAGTGCACCCTCGATTCTTTCTAAAGCCACTCTGACTTTCAGGGATTACATTATAGGTATCTAGCCAGGTCAGAAGCCTATTCAACAAGACTTGAGTAAAAACTTTCAAACAGCAGCTAACCAAAGCGATGGACCTGTAAAAGTGGTGGCACCGCTGACCACAACCAACCTAAGCGTGACAATATCATCCTCTGATATGATAGCAGCATTCCCACTTATGCTTCGTAAAACCGGTGGCATTTCTTCAAAATATTTTCTTCATGACCTGTCTCCAGCTAGAATTCTCAAAGATAAGCCTGACGTTTTATCTATAATAAACCTCCTCACTAATGAATGGATCAACCCATTTGTGAATTTAGATATCGTTAACATCTCGACTGGTAGTCTTACAACTGCGAACATCACCAAAGACTTACTCGAGGCACATTCGAATTCAAAAGTAAACGTTTATCAGCCAGTTTCACTCTGTTATGCAAAGGCAAAACTTTTTGATATAATTATTCACTGTGATGATACTGATGTCGCTGTTATAACACTACAAACCATGCCTTCCTTCATCGGACTAGGATAAAATATCTTCCTAAGAAAGGGAACTATCAATCGGCTGTAGTACTTCAATATGAACGAAATTTTTGAAGAAATAGGTGAGGATATGTGTCTAGTATTACTAGGTTTGCACGCCTTCACTGGCTGCGATACAGTGAGTGCATTTGCGGGAAAAGGAAAAGCTACAACGTTGAAGGTGGCGCGTAAAGACAAAGAATTTGCATGTGCTATGTCTAAGCTGGGAGAAACAGTAGATGATAGAACAAAGATAGTTCTCGAGCCATGTAGGTTTTATATCAACACTACCAAAATCACAAGTGTCAACGAGCTAAGGTTCATTTTATTCTGTGGCAAACAAGGTAACATTGAATCGCACAATCTTCCTCCATGTCAGAGCATACTACATAAGCACATATCAAGAGCCAATTATCAAGCAATGATATGGAAGAAGGCACTATATCCACAGCCAGACAAACCATCTCCTGAAGGTCATGGATGGTTACTTCAAACAGAGAGTGACGGTAATTCAAAGTTACACATCGATTGGATGAGCTGTGCGCCAGCACCTCTTGCTGTTCTTGAATTATTGTCTCGAAATAGCTAAGCAGAATTGCTTGTGAATTGCGGTGTGAATTTTTATTACCTTTTAAACAACAAATCTTCTGAAAAGCGAAATGAAAAACAAATAGGACCTCCTTAGTGGACTTACGCCCAGCATAGCAAATATTAGGGAAATTTAAGGAAGGTTGTGATATGTAAAAGAAACGAAAAATTTGTCTACGTAAACGTCTACTTTATTATTAAAGTAAATCGTACCGTTCTCAACCTGGAACTAACGAGGGGAAAGAGCACGGCAGAGAAACCCTCGATCTACATTCCTCAAAAATCAAAACATACTGTGTCATTATAAAAATAACAGTCATTAATCCAATAATTTAAGTCAATAAAAGTTTAAATTAGGTACCGTCTCTGTTCTTGTGCTAAAATTTCAATTACACACACTACATTCTATCAACACTACCTCTATTCAATACTGAAGAGTTTTTTGGTTAGTTAGCCAGTTTCTCAGCAGGTACTGAGGTCCCATACGAGAAGCTACTCAGCTATAGTTGTTTGTGAGCCAATATCTCTAGATTGATTATTTCAATTTGCTAGGATATTCTCTCGTCAGGGAAGGAAAATGTTAGTAAATTCAACAAAACCCTAATGTACGCTCTAAATCCTAGCACAAAAGACAGCACATAATTTCTTAGGTTTTTGTAATTTACTCTTTATCTGTGTTGTTTACAGCATGAAACGATTTTTGTTAAATACATAAACAATGCACATGTTATAAAAAAGTTATAAACAAACAAAAAAAAAACATAAAAATAGGGAAAAAAAGCTTGTATAAAATGAACTCTCAAAACAAAATAACAATTATTCAACTGACCTGTGATCGCTCCTTGGCACACACACTATTCACAAATTGGATTGCACAATCAGTTTAATACAAAATAACAATTGAAAAATGAATAATGGCGGACAAACGGTCTAAAGGGCGCAGCCCAGCTTCTTCTCTCTAGTCTAGTCGCTTATTCTCTACCTACCCTTCGCTTTAGTACTTTCGTTTTTCTCTAGCGCCTCTCGTTCCTATAAACTCAAACTTCACGGCGCATTACATGGTTGCAACATTTACTTTTATTCAGTAAACTCTTTTTTTTTTTAAGTTAATATTTGAAGACATAAGATTTTAAATAGGTGGCTTTTCTCAGAATTGAGTGAATACAGAGTCTTCATTAAATTATAAAGCAATATCATTAAAACCGACGATATCTTAGCTACTAAATTTAACAAAGTATCATCCAAATCATTGATCCTGGCTTTATTCTAAATCAAAATTTGGAAGATAATTTCACTACTTACAAATCAAAGCAGACTTAAAATGGTTAATTACGATTTTCGCACGGCGGTCATCTCTGTGACGGCATAACATCACTAAGCTTCCAAATTTTACAAAGTATCATACCAAACATTTATCCTACCTTCATGACAAATCTAAATTTGTAGGTTACAATTCCTCCCCAGAAAGGAAACCAAACCATATTTGGCTACTTGGCTCAACGCCTAATGGGATACTTTGTTTTTTCGAAATTCGAAAAAAGTCAACTTCCAATTTTAGGGAATCCCAGTAAAAAGGAATAGATCTTCTTTAGGAAGCGTCGGACGTAAAATTGCCAAGATACCTTTTAGGTTTATTTTCGCCTTCTCTACCAAACAGAACTTCGCAGTTTGTGAACACCCTTCAATTCGTTCAATAATGGTTTAATTTTAATTAAGAACCGATAATAAATCTTGCGGTGAAAATCTTAATCTGCTCCAGAAAGAAAACGGAAAGCCTAGGCGAATTAGGAGACTATTAGTTAAAAGCGGGAAAAAGTATATAAGCGCGTGAGGATGCCGGATGTTCATTGGGAAACGGTAAATCCTGGCCAAATTACCCTCGGCACACCTGCGTTTTCCCAGCGCTCCTCAACTGCTAAACAAATGACACGCGATTTGGCGAGAGGTAATCGAGAGGGTCTTACCAAGAAGATAAGTCCGACGACGTTGCCTCCACGCTGTGCAACTAATGCTAAGTTTTGCATAAAATTGTCAGAGAAGACTATAAAGCAAGATTAATGATGTGGGATAAGGCATAGTTTTTAAGATGGTAATTTCGTGGCTTATATTAGACGAGGGAGGATTCACTTTTGATTGCGTATTATCTATATAAATGGTGATGGCATTTTATTATGTACATCAGATGGGAGAAGCTAGTTAAACTCGATGCGAAAGAATTTGCAAGAACAATCAGTTCTTCAATTCTAGTAAATTTTCAATCACATTCCAAAGTTAAAAAAAAAAAGAGTCAAGACATAAAATTAACACAAACGACAAAAAAGTACAAAGACTTGGCAAGAACTTCCTAATTTCTCTTCCAGGCACCGGAGCGAGATATCTTGTCTAATTACTACAAGAATTCTTCCAAAGTTTTAATATCTTGCCTCCCCTTTAATAACAACCTCCTCTAGGTAGGTATAACGCGCGGACCGATTAAATCAGGCTTTATTTTATTTTATTTCCCCGTGCACAATATAACTTTGTTAAACTCTTCATTTGCATACTTTTAAAGCGTGTTTTTAAATTACTTAAAAATTCTTTTGCAGCTACTTCAGTTTTATAACCCAAGCGTTTTTTTATTAGTCTCAGTCTCTTTTTTTTTTGAAGAATTTTAACAACTGGGCTTTTGCCAACTTCCACTTATAACTAAACAGATTACTAGTTTTATTAAATTATGTTTAGGAAACTTCAACGGCACTTGTGCAAGTCAGTTTATTAACCGGCTTGTTAAGTTTAGTTGTGAATGCAGCCCAAAAGGTGGTTTTCGAAACACAAGTAATTGCTTGCGGCCACTGTGTGTGTCAAGTCCACCCTACTCTCTCCCTTTCCCTGGACAAATCTCCTGCAGATGTTGCAAGGTTTATACTTGTTTAGTAAACTTAAGTAATTTGTCATTGGGCCTTTTGTTATTTTAGTTAAATTGATTAATTTGTGTTAAAAGGCGGCGTCGGACCTAGCAGTTATATGTTTTATTATAATGTTGTATGATGTTGTATTAGCAGTCCAGAAGCTGAACTTTTCCATGTCCCGTCATCGATCTGGACAGCTGCAGAACTTTTAATACTCCTCCTTATACCTGGATATAATACAGGGTGATCATTTTAAAACTTACCACTCCTATTATCCCGGAGCTGAAAAATTTTCCAAAAAATCCCTGAAACTCGTCAACTATAATTTGAAGGGGGATGAGTTTTATGCAAAATTCACCTCCTTTCAACCCACAAGCCCCCAGAGCCACCTCCTAGAAAATATTAAATGGAAAGGGGGGTAGAATCGGTGAATTTTGAATAAAAATTCATCCCCCTTCAAATAATAGTTGACGCGTTCCAGGGATTTTTTCAAAAATTTTTTAACTCCGAGATAGGAGTGGTAAGTTTTAAAATGAACACCCTGTATATGGTTTTTGGAGCCATTATGAGCAGCTGGAGCAAAGAAAAACAGAAAAACAAATTGAGAAAAAGAAATAAATTTGACTAAAACATTGTTCGTGTCTCCTCAGGGGCTCACGCCTAGTGAGTACGGGAGCTGGCATTCCCGAGACACCCTAGCTGGATCTAGACTTTTCTTCAACTTGCCTTGAATCAGATCCCCTTACTTTCTTTTTTCCTATAAGATCTTCCTTGATCAACCTCTTCACTTCTACTCCTGACGCTATCAGAGCTATTCGAGGGCTAGGGGGTCTCATTCTTATAATCTTCTTCCTCCTACAAAACAAAAACAAACAATTATGGACCACAGCAAAGAAATGGAATCGTTTACGGTGCAGGGGGGATACCCCAGTACCGGTCAGGAACTCTGGTGGACGTACAGGCCAGACCCGACCGTTAACCACCAACTGTACAGTACCTATGGTAGGGAACCTGGCCAGGGGGCAGGTTACAGAGACTGGAACAAGTTCAAGGGACAAACAACGCCGAGAATCCCTTCCTACAAAGGTAGGCTGCGCCACGAATTCTGGGGAAGACAAAAATCCGAATCAAGGTAACGATAGAGGACGAAAAGCGTCAACCGCAATGATAGACCTCACAGAAAGCAAGTCAATCAGCGTGACAAAGACACCAAAAAAAGGAAACTGACGGAGACATCCCCAAACCCAGAGTGTGAAGTCCAAAAACCGAAAAACTAACCATAGAAACAGAAGCACAAACAAGCCCTAAGAGGCTCGAGAAACAAAGCAGAGAGGCAGGAACACAAACGACAGGATCAGTCGATGCTGAGCACGAAGAGACAGAATCAAGAAGGATAATTCAAGGAGAGAAGGCAATACCTTTACTGCGCTTCATTGCTAGACGACAAGGGTGCGATAAACGAAGAGGCGGCTTACCACGGCCTCACAAAACTAAGAGACAAAGCTGAAGCAGAAGGAGTAAAGAACCTGACACTCCAGAACATAGACAGGGACACGCCTGTCATCAAAAAGATGATTGAATTTATTTTCAACTCGACGAGTATAAATATCCACATATATGCACTAAAGCGCCCAAAACCCCCAAGGCAGCGCAAAGCACAAAAAATTCACATGACGCGATAATAGTTAGCGGCAACGGCAAAACATACGCGGAGCTCTTCAAGATCCTCAGAAAGGAGATCCACCCACAGGAGATAGGCGCTTCTATTAAAGGCTCCAGAGAGACCAGAAACGGGGAACACAATACACATTAGACATATTAGAGACCTAGATAGCCTGAGAAACAAAGAGAAAATTGAGGAGGCAATTCTGAGAGAGACAAACATCGTCAGACCTGATATCAGAGTCACTCCATTCAGAAAAGCTTGGCAAGGGACACAAAACGCGACGGTCATACTACCAAGCACAGCGGCAAACAAACTCGCAAACATGGGCAACTTGAAAATAGACTTAGGGGAGAGAGTGGAGACG